TTTTTTTTTTTTTTTTTGACCGAATCATGGTGTGGACATACCATTTGTTATTCACTCACTGAAACACATTTTTATTGCTTTTTTGTGTGTTTTGATTTTTGTTTTGTAGATTACATATGTAAGTGAGATTATTTAGTATCTGTCTGTCTCTTTCCATAATCCTTTCTTGTCAATCCAGATTGGATTGATACTTTGACCACCATATAATTTCTCTCCCTATCTCTAGTGATTTTCTTTGTTTTCAGATTTTAGTTTATATGATAATAATGTAACCACTTCTACTTTCTTTTAATTAATGCTTACATGGTGTATCTTTTTCTATACTTTCACTTTCCACTTGCCTGTTTAATCTGAAGTGAGTTTTTCCTAGACAGCAAATAGCTGGTTCACTAAACAAACAAACAAACAAAAAAAACCTACTCTGAAAATCTCTGTATTTTAATGTGTTTTTAGACAGTTTATATTTAATGAGATTATTGGTATATTAGGACTTAAATTTGCTATTTCGTTTTCATTTGTTTATGGTCATTTTCTCTGTTTTGCTTTTTTTTTTCTCTGCCTTCTTATGGAAATATGGTTCATACTTAAACATTTTTTTAAAATTCCATTTTGATTTACCTACATTATACAAACATAACTTGTCATAGATGACTGGTTTCATCATTTTGCCATATTAAATGAATTGGAGGAATCTTATTTCTTTGCCCTTCTCCATATAACTGCCTTACATATTTCCACTACATACATGTAGGACATCAGAGAGCACTGTAATATTTGTTAGAAACTCAAGAGAAGAAAGAAAATCTACTGTATTTACCCATTTGCTTATCATGTTCTTCCTTTCTGATGTTAAACAACTTCCTTTCTATTTATGGAGATCTGTTTAGCACCCCCCCACCTTTTTTTTTTTTTTGGAGAAAACTACTAACATAAGAATGATTATTTTCCTAAATTGTTATTTTTCTTTGGCTACTTTCAAGACTTTTCTTTGTGTTTAGTTTTCAAAAATTTAATTATGATATGTTGTGGCATGGATTTCTTTTTTTTTTTTTTTTATCCTTTTTGGAGTTTGTGCAAGTTCTTGAACTGTATGTTTATTGGCAAATTTAGAAAATACCTAGACATATTTAGATATCATTTTTCTCAAATATTTTCCCGCTACATCCCCTTTCTCATTTCTTCTTCAGACGCCATTTACAGGAATGTTACATCTTTTGTTATAGTCCCACAAATCCCTAAGGCTCTATTTTTTTTTCCATCTGTGTTTTCTCTGTTGAATAATTTCTATCTTATAGCTTGCTATTTCTTTTCTTTCTGACCTCCATTCTGCTCTTGTGCCCATCCCCTGAGGTCATTATTTCAACTGTTATATTTTTCAGTTCTAAAACTGTCATTTAGTTCTTATTTACATCTTCCATTTCCTTGCTAAGACTTTGTGATTTTTCATTTCAAGTATGTTCAATGGCTTGTTGAAGCTTAAAGTTTTTGTCAGATAGTTCTAACATGTCTGTCATCTTGAGCTGAGCATCTTTTGAGCATTTTTTCCTCATTCAGTTTGAGATCTTTGTGATTCTTCATAGAATGGGTGACTTTCTATTGAAATTGCAGCATTTTGAGTATTTTATGATGAGACTCTGCACCTGGGTCCACCTTCTGGTTCTCTGACACTGCTCCAGCGAGAGGGGAGAGGTACCACCTCATCACCCGGGTTCCCCATCCAGTTTGCATTGACAGCTGAAGGGTCAGACTCCTTGTTACTACTGAATGTGGTTGAAGCTCCCACTCTCCACTACACCCTCACTGGCACGATACCTCTCTGACTAAGAGAGATAGATGTGTCTTGTTACGTCTAAAAGATGTCTTTGTAAAAATGGGTAATTTAAAACCTCAATTCTAGGAATGAAGAATTCTTAGGAAGTTCATTTTATATACGTATTTTTTCTTGAACAGTATAATTTATGTATATTTGAGTTCCTCAATAATTATGTTTAAGTTATAACATGTAGATTGTCGTAAGTCTCATACTGATCAGCAGGAGCCATAGATATTATTCTTCTTTGCTAAAAAGCAATGTCTTCTTTTTATAGCAAATCCAATGGGTTCAAAATAATTTAGAGTAAAATAGTCCTTCCTTCCCAGTTACATTCTCCAGATATAACTACTGTTGCTAGTTAAACAGGCTTCTACCCTGTTTTTAGTCTATGTTTCAATTATATTCCCCCACCTCACTTACTCACTCCCAGTTTTCCTCTACAGTTTCTCTTTCTATTCCTTCTTTCTAATCTTGTCCTTCTCTGTCCAGCTGTAAAATGTTGAGATGCTTTCAAACTTGGTTCTAGAAGCCTTTTTTCCTCAATCAACATTGTTTTTCTTTGTAAGTCATCTATATCCTTGTCTCAGTTACCATTTATACTTAGATGACTCATGAACTATTTTTCTAGTTCAGATCTCTGATCTGAGTGTCAAATCAACAACTTCAGCTCTCTACCTAACAGCTCCTTTTGTATCTAGATAGCATCCCAAGTCCCAAATGCCTAAACCAGCCTGACCGTCTTCTTCCAACTCTGCCTGTTTTCACATCTCAGTAAATGGCGTCACTATATATTGAGTTGTATTTGTCAGAAGCCTAAGAATCATTTCTGATTCTCTTTTCATCTTCACCTCCCATATCCAGTTAATCATTAAATCATTAAGTTAATCATTTTCCCTCCTGAATTGCCCCATCCTTTCTATCTTCAGGCTTTTATCACCTCTTATCTGGGCTAACGCAGAAGTTTCCTAAGTGGACTTTCTGCTTCTAATCTCGTTGTGTTTGAGTTAATTTTTTACTCTGTAACCAGAGAGATATTTTCACAATAAAAATTTGGTCATGTCAACTGCCTGCTTAAAATAATTCATTTTTAAAAATTGCTTTTATGGGAAAGACCTAAATCCTTAACAAGATTTAGTACAATGCCTGCCATATAGTCAACATTCAATAAGTATTTTTGGGAGAATGAATAGATGAGTTGACATAGTTTGTAGTATTTGCTATTAAAATAGTATTGTTACACACATGCATGTATCCATGTATCTTTCTTTACCTTTGTTATATTTCAGTTGGATATGTTTCTAGAAGTGAGACTGCTAGTCTAATTTGGTTTTCTCTTAAATATCAAGGTTAATAAGGCAATTGGTGTAGTACCTTGTAGCCATCAAGAGAAAAAGAAGAATCTAAGCTAGGAAGATCAATGATGATTTATTAAAGGGGCCATCTTGTACCCTCTGTCTGATGAGGGGAATTATGTTCTAAAGAACTGCCAAATAACTTAAGCATTAAAAAAAAATAGATTGTATGCTAAATAACCTTAGATAAAATAGTTTGGAAGACAGAGCAAGTAATGAGTGAATCGAATTTTCATATTCATGATAATTGTGACTTATTCCTATTTTATTTTGATTCTATGTTTTTCTTCGGCTCCCCTGGTGGCTCAGATGGTAAAGAATCCACCTGCAATGCAGGAGACCTGCGTTCAATCTGTGGGTCAGGAGATCCCCTGGAGAAGGGAATGGCAACCCACTCCAGTATTCTTGCCTGGAGAATCCCATGGACAGAGGAGGCTGGTGGGCTATAGTCCATTGGGTTGCACAGAAGTGGACATGAGTGAGTGACTAACACTTTATATGTTTTTCTTATTAATGACACTATATGAAAATTAGGTAGTTTAAGGAAAGGGTTGATTTGAAGTGGGGGTGGTCACATAAGAATAGATTATAAAAATAATGTAGAAATAATTTTCATAGGAATTGAGGGTCTGTTTACTCGTGTAGTTGATGCTGGGCAGAATAGTGATGTAAGTAAATAATGTTATCAGAGGCATGTTGTCCTGTCTCTGCCTCTTTTGCTCCACTCCCTGGAGGGCAGAGGGTCTGTCTGTAAAGTAAGCAGTAGAAAACAGCATGAAGGTATCAGGTGCCTGAAAAAGGTGGGGGACGAGGGATACCAGGTTACTGATCGCTTTGTTCTTTCTTCTGTGATCCTGGGCAAGCTGGTTAATCTCTGTGGTGCTTAGTTTTCCCATCTGAACATAATACTAACCACTGATTTACATGCAACCTGGATTGGATATGGTCCCATTATTTTATTATTTATAAATGTATTTATTGAAAAAAAATTTATCTGTTGTTTGAGCTGATACTGAAACAATTTATTAGTGATTTTAGTCATAAATGTGCATTCCAGGGAGGTAAAAGTATGGAGCACACGGTCATTAATGGCCTCAAGAGCCTTTATCATCAGCTTGAAAAGTGAAAAGTAAAAGTGTTAGTCGCTCAGTCGTGTCCAACTCTTTGCGACCTCATGGATGTAGCCCACCAGGCTCCTCTGTCCATGGAATTCTCCAGGCAAGAATACTGGAGTGGTTTTCCATTTCCTTCTCCAGGAGATTTTCCTGATCCAGGGACTGAACCCAGGTCTCCTGCACTGCAGGCAGATTCTTTACCATCTGAGCTATCTGGGAAGCCCCTTTCAGCAGCTTATCAGGCTGCAGAGTGACTCACAATGGGCTCTTAAGGCCCTGAGTGGTCCCATGAAATTCTGAGTTAAGATGCTTCTGTAATTATCCATATATTCATTGGGAGCATAGTACTCTGAAGTTAACAAGTAATTCTTTAGATATTTTTCTGTGTTCCCTCTTGAGTTCCGTCGCTCAGTGGTGTCTGACTCTTTGCGACCCCATGGACTGCAGCACGCCAGACTTCCTTGTCCATCACCAACTTAGTCTATTTTTGTTTATACTGAGATGTGTAGATTATGCAGCTTTGTATTTATTTTTGTCTTGCTATTAATTTTGCACCAGCACCTCTATGACTGTTGAAGCAAAGCATTGATGTAATTGCTTTCTTTGTCATCTCTTCTTGTTCCAGGCAACGGGCCTCACCACGACCGTTGCTGTACTTACAATGAAAACAACTTGGTGGATGGTGTTTATTGTCTCCCAATAGGACACTGGATTGAGGCCACTGGGCACACCAATGAGATGAAGCACACAACGGACTTCTATTTTAATATTGCGGGCCACCAAGCCATGCATTATTCAAGGTAAAAATAGTGCCATGTTTATAAGCATAGAAGTAGGACAAGGGTAGCATTAGGACAATGGAAGTGGTCACCGTGTTCAAAACTGCAGCCTCTCCCTCTGGAGGGTTATATAGGCCTGTGGCACTTAGAGGAGGTAAATTACAGTGAATTACTACATGAGCTTTTCTGGTTCTAGACATGAAGGATCCTTTTTATAGAATTTTTTTTTACTAAATACAAATTCTGGCATCAACATATTTTGACCAGACACTAGTTAACCAATTTTTGTACTTATGTAGTGGGTTAAAAATAAAAACTAGTCTAAAAATATCCTAAATCAGGTTTTGTATCTTTTATGCTACTGACCAGCAGCAAAACAAAAATTGATGTCTCTTTATCAAATATGATTCAAATAAATATGTGTGAAGATCTAGACATAAGACTAGATTGGTTGTGGTCATTTGCTTTGTTATTTATTAACAGATTTATTTTTATTTATTTATCTATTTAATTATTATACTAACAGTATGTGTCATAATACAAATTCAACACTGAAGAGGATGCTAAATGGAAAGTAAGGTTCCATACACATTCCTTTCATTCCCACTCACCAGAAATAATTATTTTAAACTATTTTATTGTTAGTTTTTCTGAAACTTAAATCCAAGTCTTAAATAATATGCATATATTTTATTTATTAATATGTCAATTTAAAAATAGCTTTTGAAAGAAATGATACTGATGAACTTACTTATAGAAAGAGACTCGCTGACTTAGAGAACAAACTTATGGTTGCCAGGGGGAAGGATATGGGGAATCTGACATGGACATGTACACACTGCCATATTTAAAAATGGATAACCAACAGGGACCTTTGTATAGCACACAGAACTCTGCTTAATGTTATGTGGCAGGCTGGATGGGAGGGGAGTTTGGGGGAGAATGGATACATGTACATGTATGCCTTAGTCCCTTTGCTCTTCACCTGAAACTATCACAACATTGTTTGTTAATTGACTATACTCCAATGCAAAATAAAAAGTTAAAAAAATTAAAATATTTCAGAAAAATAGAAAAAAAAAAAAAAGCTTTTGACTCCCCTCTATGACATGAAGCAAGTTTAGCTCACTTATTTTTTCTCCCCTCTTCCAACCCCTACCAGGCTCATTAAAAAAATTCTTTTGTTATTTATCATAAAAATTATATTTCTTAACCCATTAATTTTTGACAGTGCCCCTTGATTTTTTAATGTATGAGATCAGAGATTTATTGTCCCTATATTTTCCTCCACATCTACTGCTGCTGCTGCTGCTAAGTTGCTTCAGTTGTGTCTGACTCTGTGTGACCCCATAGACGGCAGCCCACCAGGCTCCTCTGTCCCTGGGATTCTCCAGACAAGAACACTGGAATGGGTTGCCATTTCCTTCTCCAATGCATGAAAGTGAAAAGGGAAAGTGAAGTCGCTCAGTCGTATCCGACTCTTCATGACCCCTTGGACCACAGCCTACCAGGCTGTCCATGGGATTTTCCAGACAAGGGTATTGGAATGGGTTGCCAGTGCCTTCTCTGCCACATCTACTTCCACCCATTCACTTCTGTTTTTCATTATTTTTACATTTTCAAGTGTTATAGAAGTTGGATTTAATTTAGCAAATATAAATGAATCTTTTGTAGTTTGATGATTTAAAATTTAAAACCAATATTCAACATATAAAATTCTCTGTATATGTTATTTACTGTAGGACACACAGTGTTTTTACCATAGACAAAGATGCAGTCTCATGTTCTTAAAAATTGTATTGCTTTGAATGAGAGATATAACTAATATAAACAGGGTTGTAAGGGTAGGAGAGAGGGAGAAAATAACTTCATCATAGTGTTAGGAAATGAATATTCTTCTTGGACACACTTTTCTTATAAATTCATGTTAGATGTTGGCTTTACTGATGGATTGGATGCACAGCAGGAGGAAAGAGGAGTTCTGTATGACTTGTGTTTTTATCGTCTGAGCAACTGGATAAATAAGATGGGGAAGATTTAGGAGAAGAACAATTTGGAGTAGGGACTGAGATGAAAATCTTATTTTAGACATATTGCCTTTGAAATGTAGGCTAGATTGCAGAAAAGAAATCCATGTGTTGTATGGCATTTCATCCTTCTTTCTTTCGTTGTTTGATTAAAGAGTAACTGCTAACCCTTAATTTTTCATAGTTATTATTTGAAAGAGTAGGTTGTTTATTAGTTTTGGAGTTTCAGGGATAGGTTGGAAATGGAGATATAAACTTGGGGTTATCAATATACAGGTGACATTCAAAGTGATCAGTCTAGTTGAGACCATGTAGCAAATAACCCACTCCAGTACTCTTGCCTAGAAAATTCTATGGATGGAGGAGCCTGGTGGGCTGCAGTCCATGGGGTCGCGAAGAGTCAGACACGACTGAACGACTTCACTTTCACTTTTAACCTTCATGCATTGGAAAAGGAAATGGCAACCCATTCCAGTGTTCTTGCCTGGAGAATCCCAGGCAGGCGGAGCCTAAGTGGGCTTCCGTCTATGGGGTCGCACAGAGTCGGACATGACTGAAGCGACTTGGCGGCAGCAGCAAATAAGTAAAATAAAGAGAAGGAACTGGCAGTCGACTCCAGTACTCTTGCCTGGAGATTCCCATGGACATAGGAGCCTGGTGGCCCATAGAGTCACAAAGAGTTGGACATGGTTGAATGGATAGATGACATAATATAAATAAATAAGTTACAAAGGAAAGAGTCCTCAGGTTCACAAAATTTAGGAATGCAGGAGAAAAAGAAGATCAAAAGAAAAGAATGAGAAGGAACATCCATTGAGATGTTCTGACACTTAATGAAGATGTGTTAATGGATTATTTTTCATTTTTGCTGAGCCGCATTTTCTGAACCCTTTCATGTGTTGAGTCGTGTCTTCGGCTCTAGGGATTTTCTTCTGCTATTGGATTATTTCTCCTCCTTCCTTGTCTTTGTTCTGTCATTGAAGACACTCTTTAGATGGATGTTAGACCTCTTGGATTTATACTCTATTTTTGACTCTTTAAAAATATTTTTCACTTCTGGTTTTATTGCTTTACATTTTGGAAGACTTCATTGTTTTTCCAGCTTACCTCATTTTTTTTTTCTCTTAATTTTGCTTCTTAATTTTCATGGGCTCTTCCTTATTCTTTTATTCTCTTTTTGCATATTTGTTTGTTCTTGTTTATGAATGAGCACTTGCTGAAAGTACTATGGAGAATTATTTTAAAGTTATCTTCTGTTCCTGGAGTGATCTTGTTTCCTACTGAATCAGTTGTTCTCTGTTCACTTTTGATCCTTCTCTTTCATTGTTTATTTAAGAAGTTACTGCTAACCCTTAATTTTTCATAGTTATTGTTTGAAAGGGTAGGTTGTTTATTGAGTTTCATCTACCATTACTAGCTTCTATACCTGTGAGTGTGTTCACCCGGGCTGTTGTGCATTTGGGCAGATCACATCTCAGTGAGGGGAAGAGAGGCGGAAGGTCAGCCTGGCCCCTCCTACCACCCCTCCCGGAATGAAGAGGTGGGAAGGTCTGTGTGGGGCACACCTCTCACTCTGAGAACTTTCCCTCTCCAAGTAAACGCTTCCGTTTTTAAAGAAGGTATTTCTTCACTTTCACATATGGTATCATGGCTGTATGTGGATTGAATATGAAACATAGTTCATGTGTTCATTGTTTATGCAAGAAAGGTTGCATTAAAAATTTTCTTCAAAGCAGTTTAGTTTCACTAAGTCTCTGTCCTACTGAATTTTCAGGTAATTCAGCCTGTTATCCTCCTCAGGTATAAAAAAAAATACATAATGTATAAAATTACATAATAATATATGTACATAAAATAGCTGATAGATGCATAATATGTATAGTATATAGAATATATATATTTACCCATGGGGTATTATATATATATGTAGTATATAATACACAGATACAATACCTATATACATATACAAATAAGAAAAAATCCCATACTCAGAATTTTGGGCCTAACAGTATTTCTTCTACTTATTTATTTCTATAATAGAGATAACTGGGAACTTTTAAATAAATAGCAGTTTTTCATAGTGGATCTGTTGGCATCTCTCTGATTTTTAAGAAGCTCCATTAACCTCCAGTGTTTCTCACAGTTCAGTCTCAAAATTACCTACTTGAAAACCAATTTGGTGGTATGATTTTTAAAAATAAAAATCAATTGGGTGTTTTGTTTTTTTAAAAAGATAGATTGATGAGCCCCATCAATTCCTGGAATCTCTTTTCCAACCTCTTCATATGATACTTTGAGGCATAAAAATTTGAGAACTTCTGTGATTAGTTGAATAAAGACTAATTTAGAATTTAAAATGGAGACTTTTATGTGCTATCAGTTATTTCAGTCTAATTCCCCGTATAAATTTTAGCTACAATTCATCGTCACTTGAAACTGGACAAGATAAAAATGTGAATTCAGTTTATGAGTTGAAAAGACAATAATATATTTATTGTTAAATTGAAAACATCTACTCGGACATGACTGAAGGGACTTAGCAGCAGCAGCAGCAATAGCTATCTACTTACTGTAGTCATTTGATGTACAGTGCTAAAATAATTTGTGGATTTGTTTTTGTTGCTGAAAGAGATGCATCCATCATAGGTTATATGTTTCAGTATATGTAATAATAGAGATAGTCAAACTCACCTAATAATTTATAATCACAAATTATCAGCCTTTAGTTTGGATATGGGAATGGAATTTTGCCTAGTTTTATTTTTATGGTTGGGGTAAAAAAATTGTGAGGTCAGTACCCTTCATAATGATAAGATTGTCAAGATCTGAAGATTTTAAAAAATATCTAATAATTAAATGTTCCATTCAGTTTAGTTCAGTTCAGTTGCTCAGTAATGTATGACTCTTTGTGACCCCATGGACTGCAGCACACCAGGCTTCCCTGTCCATCACCAACTCCCAGAGCTTGCTCAAATGAATGTCCATCGAATTGGTGATACTATCCAACCATTGCATTCTCTGTCGTCCCCTCTCCTCCTGTCTTCAATCTTTCCCAGCATCAGAGCAGAGTCTTTTCCAATAAGTCAGTTCTCCACATCATGTGGCCAAAGTACCGGAGCTTCAGCTTCAGTGTCAGTTCTTCCAATGAATATTCAGGACTGATTTCCTTTAGAATTGAATGGTTGATCTCCTTGCAGTCCAAGGGACTCTCAAAAGTCTTCTCCAACACCATAGTTCAAAAGCATCCGTTCTTCGGTGCTCAGCTTTCTTTATAGTCCAACTCCCATATATGGTCCATATATAGTCCAACATCCATATATGACTACTGGAAAAACCATAGCTTTGACTAGATGGACCTTTGCTGGCAAAATAAATTCTCTGCTTTTTAATATGCTATCTAGGTTTGTCATAGCTTTTCTTCCAAGGAGCAAGCGTCTTTTAATTTCATGACTGAAGTCACCATCTGCGGTGATTTTGGAGCCCAAGAAAATAAAGTCTGTCACTGTTTCCGTTGTTTCCCCATCTATTTGCCATGACGTGATGGGACTGGATGCCATGATCTTCGTTTTTTGAATGTTGAATTTTAAGCCAGTCTTTTCATTCTCCTCTTTCACTTTCATCAAGAGGACTGATGTATAGTGTGACAATTTCATCTACTGATAAGAATTGTATGGATACTCTGCGGAGCCTCTGGGCTCAGTGCTGGACCATCACAGATGCAGCAACAATGATCCCTGCTCTCAGGAACTCATCTTCTTGTGGATGACAAACACATAAACAGCTCTAATATTGTAAG